TGAAAAATGCAGGAGCCACATACCAACGATTGGCGAACAAGATGTTTTAGTCTCAGAACGGAAGAACAATGGAGATGTACGTGGACGACATGTTGGTGAAGATCCTCACCGCAACAAACTACGTAAACCACTTGCAGGAAATATTCAGTGTTCTAAGGTCATACCACATAAAGCTGAACCCTAAGAAATGCGCCTTTGACGTTGGATCAGGTAAGTTCTTGGGCATCATGTTCAACCATATGGGAATTGAGGCGAATCCCGAAAAGATAAAAGTCATCCTAGATATGAGATCACCCACCACAACTAAGGAGCTCCAGCGCCTCAATGGGAGAATTGCATCCCTCAACAGATTTGTTTCCAAGTCTACAAATAAATACTTACCCTTCTTTAAAAGCTTATTTGGCTAAGCCCCCTCTTCTCTCATATGTCACGCTAGATGAAATTTTGTAATTTTACTTCTCCGCTTCCCCATTAGCGGTTAGCTCTGTCCTTATCAGAGACAACGAAGGAGTGCAAAAGCTTGTGTATTATATGAGCAGAACATATCGAGTAGTAGAAATAAGATATTTGGGACTAGAAAAGTTAGCACTCGCCCTAATCTCAACACCGAGGCGTCTTCGACATTACTTCCAGAGTCATACTACTGTTGTCGTTATGGATTAGCCTCTGAAAAGAATCCTGGGAAAGCCATATTTTTCTGGAAGGCTCCTAAAGTGGGTAGTTGAGTTGGGTGAGTTCGATGTGCAGTACCAACCAAGAGCAGCAATCAAAGCCCAAGCTTTGGCAAACTTTGTTGTCAAGCTCACACCAGCAGAAGAGGAGTGTAGAGAACCTTTGGTATCTCCACAAGACATCCAGGAAACCTCATCAGCATTACATCCAGAGACCCAGGTGCCCTAGAAAAATGCCTTAGCCACCCAGGCACCTAGCCTTGGCGCCCAGGCATCCTGGCGTCCAAGATAGGTGCCCACCATGGCCTCTAACGTTCCTTCTCTACCACTTCCCTGGAAGCTTTACATTGATGGTTCCACCCAGGGAAGTAGATGGAGTAGGCGTGATACTAATCAGCCCGACGACACTTGAATCAAGTATGTTATAAAGCTTCACTTTGCAGCCTCCAATAATAAAGTAGAATACGAAGCCCTCCTCTCTGGCCTAAAGTTAGCAGTCGAAATAAAGGCTCGACACCTCGACATCTTTAGTGACTCGCAATTAATAGTCAACCAAGTAAAAGGGAGTTTGAAGCAAAAGGAACTAAAATGGAGGAGTATCTTACTATAATGCAAGCCTTGTTGACTAAGTTTCACTGCTTTCAAATCCATCACGTCCCGAGGGAAGACAATATCACTACAGATGCGCTACCCAGGCTCGCCTCATCCTCAGAAGCCCCACCAGCACCAGAGTTCATCGGTCACTAGTTTGAACCAAGCAAGCTAGACAAGGAAGCCAACAACGTCAACTACATATCTACCGAGTCAAATTGGATTGCCCCAATTAGGGCGTACCTTCAGGAAGGCGCATTATCAAATAACCCGTTGGAAGCCAAGAAACTTAGAATGAGAGCCTCCAAGTTCACCATCCTACAGGACATCTTGTACAAAAAGGGTTACTCCCTATCACTACCATGCTGCCTTTTCCCAGAGGAAACTAACTATTCCTTACGAGAGATTCATGAAGGAGTTTGTAGAAACCATTCTGGAAGACACTCCCTAGCCCACAAGGCACTCAGGCAGGGTTATTTTTGGTCTATCATGGTTAGGGACACACAGAAGTTCACCAGGAAATGCATTAAGTGCCTACGTTTCGCCACTGTGCCCAGGTACCCATCAAAGGAATTGACAGCTATCATAAATCCATGGCCCTTTTCCAAATGCGGCATCGACATTCTGGCCCTCTACCTCTAAGCTGAAGGTTGTGCAAGTTTGTGGTAGTAGCCACTGACTATTTCACAAAATGGGCAGAGGCCGAGCCCTTAGTGAAGATAATAGACACAAGTCAAGGACTTCATCTGGAAGAACCTAGTTTATCTCTTTGGAGTACCCCACGCCATAGTCAATGACAACACCAAGCAATTCGACAATAGACTCCTGAACTCGTTCTGCACCGACCTTCAGATAAAACAACCTCATTCTAGCCCGGTGCACCTGCAGACAAACGGACAGGCAAAGGTCACAGTCAGAACAGTACTGCGCAATCTAAAAACGAGGCTAGAAAGAGCAAAGGGTCTATGGGTAGGCAAACTCTCGGGTGTATTATGGGCGTATCGAACGACACGAAGAACCCCAACTGGAGAAACTCCATTCTCACTCGCCATTGGAGCTGAAACAATTGTACATGTGGAGATTGGGATACATTCCCTAAGGGTTCAACATCACAACCCCATCACCAACGAGGAAGGACTTTGTATCAACCTCGACTTGGTAGAGGAGTGAAGAAAAATGGTCATGATCCGAAACGCGGAGTATAAGCGCCGCATGGAAGGATTCTACAACTCGAGGGTAAAGCCTCGTTCCTTTCTATCAGGAGACTTAGTTCTTAAGAAAGTGATCCTAGCTATGAAGGATCCGCGAGAAAGGAAGCTTGGGCCAAACTGGGAAAGACCCTATATCATAATAGAAATAGTGAGGCCAGACACCTACAGGATCCAAAATTCTGAAGGAAAAATCTTATACCATCCATAGAATGTCGAGCATTTGAAGAGGAACTATCAATAACACTTAAGAAGGGTAGAGATAATAAAGTTGAGGGGCTTGATTTTATTTTTTCTTGTATCTTTTTTGGGTAATTACCCACCATTGCTTGGCATGAACAGTCATCAAATAAAATTTTCTAAGTTTACTTCAAAAAGTTCCTTGCATTCTATTTCAAGTGAACATCAATGGTAAGAAACCACTTTTACAAAAGTAGGCTACGCACTGCCTTTCTACCAAAAAAAAAAAAGGGTCAAATTTCCAAGCACTCTAACTGCTCTAATGATCACCATCCTCCTCGTCCTTATCCTATTCATCGTAAGAATCACCAATAGCATCATCAGACGTCTCATACGACACAAAGCCTAAAAATTCAATATCTAGGAAAGTAATAGAAATCTTTCCCCGGAGCTCCCCATAGCCATCAATGAAAGCATCCACAAGCCACTCTCTGAATCAGCCTCGGCCTTGGTGGCCCTCTCATGAGCCAATCGTAGATCCACCTCAGCCTGGAAAACTCTCTCTTGAACTGTCTTCAACTCTGCTTCCGCTCTTAAGCGGGCAGCCTCACCATCTACCTCAAGCTTAGTAGCCTTCTTACGGGTCACCACAACCCCTGCCTTAAGCATAGTGGCCCTTTCACAGGTCACCACAAGCTTTGCTTCTGCCCTCGTGCAGACAGTCTCTCTGAGCTCAGCCCTCTCACAGGTCGCCATAAGCTCAGCAATCCTCCCTTGAGCAGCAAGAAGCTCTTTTTTTACAACTTCATGAGCAAACCTTTCCCCTCTAACAATTGAGCTCAATTGGCTAAACTGGACAACCCTCGAAAAAAGGCACACAGACGCAACTGAAACCTAAGGAAAATAAAGAAATGTCAGTATCCAAGAGAGGGTCAAGAGCAAGGGAGAAATCAAACCCTTACCTAGGTCAGACCTTCCAGAACAGTGTCGATGATGCCCTTAGTGCCCCAAGCACCAACCTGATTGATGTCTACTGGAAACACAAATCTCCCAAGTCATTCCTTGACAATTTGCACATCACCCAGCATGGAGACGATTTGAGTAGCAGCCCCTATAGAAGTCTCCGCAAGAGGATTCCATGCATGGTGGCAAGAGGTATGGCCACTTGGGGGAGTCTCTGGAGTGGCCGTCACCTTTGAAGGAGTCACTGATTGCGAAAATGCCATAGGAGGGGCTCGTTTAAGCATTGGTCACCCTCGCCACCTTAGGAGGAGGAGTACCCCTAGTGGAATAACGGGACTCCACCACTATCGTATCCACTGCAGAGGGATAAAGTGTTTATCCTAAAACAAAACTAAGTAAAAAAAGAAAATCCAAGAACATTAGTATATATTTTCTCTTCAAGGAAGAATTGTCAGGCCTCAGAGAGGGTGCACCAACCCTAACACTTCTAGTATGAGAGTCTCTAGCTCCACCCTTTTTGAGCATGAGAGTTCTAAAGTCCTTTACAGGGTGAGCCTTTATAGCTTGTAATTTTCATTCTTGGTCCTTTGAGAGCACCGGAGAGCCTAGAAGAAATGTTATAAGAACACACTCAAAAAAAGGTAAAGGAAAACGAGTAAAGAGTGGGCATACCAATTCTCTTGGGAGTATGCCACCTTACTGGTACCAAAGCCTTGTCAGTATCTGAAGCTTATTCTCTGCCAGCAAACAAAAAGCGAGCCTTCTAGCTATGGCAATTAGAATGCGGTCCAGTAATCAATTTACCTTCCCTCGGAGCGAAGTAGTACCAACTATGATTGGGAGCAGGAGTCTCACTCAAAGTATAAGCTGGACAGAACTCTTCAGGAGAAGCATCCTTATGATGCACTTTTCTCTACAGTGCTAGAAATCCCAACAACACTCTCCAATCGTTGGGCGCCAACTGCCCTGGTGCAAGTGAAAAATAATGAATAATGCAACAAATAGAAGAAGGCATTGAGAACCTTAGCCCAGCCTCAAGCACCTCCTCATAAATGGCGATGTCTTTACATGAGTCATCGCAAACAGGCTCACTCATTTCAGCTCGACGACACAGTACCATTGGAAGGATGTTATAGGTGGAAACAACCCTTAGAATATCAGCATTAGTGTTGAGGATACTAGAAATGGTACTTACTTTGGATCCGTCATCATCAAGAGCTACATTTCCTCGATGCTTGGTATTGCGAGGGCGAGGAACATTGCCTTGACCACTGCTAGGAGACCTTTGAGGGATCTGAATCAGTGGAGTTCCACCTGAATGAACCATATCATTTGTCGTATGCCCATAATTTGCGCCGCTAGAAACACTAGCATCCACTGGCATACTCTACTCTATGACCACAGACACAAACTTCCTAGCTTTGTGCTCAGTCATCGCCGTCAAGCCTGGCTCACCTAGCGTCTACAAGTCTGCGTCCAAAGTCACCGGCTCGCACTCTAGCCCCAACGACGCCCGTCTGGCCTCACCTAATGCCTCTCGACACCACTGGAATGCGTACCTTGTCATACCCAATATCCGGCGAACCCAACTGCAAGCTCCGCTGCTTGTGTTCGTTATCTAGCATCACCCTTTTATCGCGATTAGTAGAGCCGTCATCCCTTGACGACCCTGACACCTCGCCCTCAGCGCCCCTCACCCGCAACACCTTGCCATTAGTGCCCTTCACCCCCTCGTCGCTGCACGGCGCCCATGGTGCTTCGCCCTCGGCGTTGACCCATGACGCCTCGGCTTCCTTGATCTGCGCCTCATCTTCGAAGCTCTCTCCACGATAGGCACGTCCCTCCAACGATGCCCGTGGCCTCCACGATCAGCAGCGCATGTAGGGTTTCGCCTATGGTGCCTTCTCTCATCCTCGCGACCTGGGCATGCACTTAGCGACCCGCCTCCAGGGTCCATGTGAATCAGATCAGTATTTGTGGAGCCTTCGGGCTCTCCTACACCACCATGGCACCTAACTTCGCCAATTCCTCCTTCGGTCACCACTACACCAACGAGCTCTTGACCGCTTGTCGCAGTGTCGGTTGCTCCATCGCCATGGATACCGGTAGACCTTCGCATCTCTTCTCCTTCACTCGACATTATCTCTGAGCACGAAACTCATAATGGTATCACAAAGCTTCCCTCTTGCTTTTGTTCTTGGGACCTCACTAGGAGCCTTTTCTCAAAGGGAATGAAATGATGAGAGAAAGAAGAAATTCCCAATTTATGGCCTAGGACTTTTTGAAATTCTAAAAGGAAATAAAGTGGGGGAGTTTATATAGCCGAAGATATCTTACAGACAAAAAGAGTTTATATATTAGGAAGGGAAAGAATCGTCAATCAAAAGGAGTCTTCATCAGCCAGAATTCAAATTCAGCAAAATGCCCTTTTCCCCAAGTTTATTGGACTCGAGGCATTGGAGGGCAAGTGATGGGTTAGGTCCAAGGGCCCAACTCATATTATAAGCTCAGCTTTAATAAAGAGCCCTACTAGACGAGATCCAATGGGTCCAGCCCAAAAGAGGTCCACGCCCAATCACACTCATTAGGGTTTAGGGAGCTACATCACTAAGGAGTAGGCAAGGTCATCCCAAGAGTCTCATTCACATCGTCTTAAAAAAAGTCAACCACTATGTCATCCTTTGACCTGATCTTAAGGGGAACACTGTAACTGCCTCAACTGTTGAGAGGATAACACCATCTCCACCTAATTAGCTACTTAGTTACTAAAAAAATGCCTTAGTCTGTTAAGAGACACTATAAATTATAAGTCCCGTCAATACTTGAGAGACATCGAACACATCTGTTATCACTCTCATCTCTCTCTCATAGCTTGTAACTCCATTAATCTCCTCTAATCTCTTTACACTCCTCGAAGTAATAAAACATCAGGTCATTCTAACCCTTTATAGTATAGTAAGTCACATCAATCGAACCACTCTACATTAATCATTGCATTAATCATTAATCGAACCCCTAATATCTTTGTCTTACTTGTGTTACTGTCTTTTTACTTAATTATTGCATTAATCATTAATTACTTAACATATGGTGCATAAAATCAATTTGTACATCATCAAATACTACCATAAAGCATGATAATGTAGAGATGATTCAACTAAACTCAAACGAGGACGTGTCCCATAGAAAACTGCAGTTATCATAGGAGACATCAGATGAGCCGCAAAAGATCATATCTTGAATTTTGTCCAAATTCTAAGGACGCTCAACAAGCTAACACATTGAATAGCATCAGAATTTTTAAACCAGTCATTATCCCTTTGTTGGGTCAGTAATCCTTCAAGAGGCTTCTGTATGTTCCTCCATGCTGATTGTAACCAATATATATTTTCCTAATAAATACTAATGTTTCCAATTAATATATATATATATATATATGTATGTATATATTAATTCTAAAAATAAAATTTCTTTTATATTGGAATTAAATTTGAATCAAAACTTTGATATCAATCTAAGTTCAAACCAACTGAAAATTCGATCCAAATTCAATTATTTGACCAGCTTAGTCATTGTGCTCAATATATTTCGTTGCCTATAGATTCCTCAACTTGTTTCCCAAAAGCCATTTTTAATGGAGTGGACTCCACTACAAACCCCAGTCTCAAGTTGGGAAGTGTCCAAGAGGACATGTCTAACAATGATTGAAAATCAACCAAAAAGTGTATTGTTTGATTGTGTAATTTTTTTGGGTTAATTGCGTGTTGGAGGTTTTCGAAGAATAAAGTTTATTTTATTTTTGTCCTTAATGTTTTGTTGGAGGTTTTTGAAGTATAGAGTTTATCTCATTTTTATCCTCAATATTTTAATTGTATTATTTTGGTCTCTAAAGTAATGCATATGTTTTTATATGGTCCCTCAAGCAGACAACGTCTAGATTGTTAACGATTTTTTATCATAAATTTATCACATAATACTTAAATATAGACACAAAATAATTTTGATAACTTTTAAACAAAATTTGAGTAACTTTTGACAAAACATGTGTAATATGAGTAACTTTTTGACCAAAATTGGGATAACTTATAATTAAAATAGTATAGTTTAGGTAGTTATTTAACAAAATTTTGAGTCAAAAATTTGGTTAAGAATTATTTAAATTATTTTTTTGTCCATATATTTAAGTATCACGTGATAAGTTTATGATTAAAAAATCGTTAGTAATCAGGACGTTATCTGTTTAACGGATCATATAGAAATATATTCAATATTTCAGGGACCAAAATGATACAATTAAAATATTAAAAACCAAAATGAAACAAATCTCATACTTTTTGGACCTCCTATATAATTAACCCAATTTTTTTTTATCATTTCATGTTCCGATTGACCAATAGATCAAAAATCTAAAACAAAAGATTTCAGTATCTTTCAACTAATACTCATAGTTTATTGGTAAACTAAAAAATCTCTTATATTACAAGTATTCCCATGCTTTCAATAGCCAAATTCATCGCCAGTTTCCGCAACAATCTCTAATGCTTATAATTTATTGTGCCCCTTTGATCCTTTGTTTTATTATGTTGATAAATTAGATCAAATTTTTAAATCTCAATAGCATTATTCTTCCTAATCGGTTTGCATTTTATAGAACTAAACATCAAATCTTTCACTAAAAATTTACAAGAAGTTATAAACCGGAGTGATAATCGATTTGAGCCTATGCTGCGACTTGGCTCTTGTTATTCAAGAATTACTCAAGCTTGTCTCGGGCTTGTTTATCAAGCTTAAAATATTGTTCGAGCTCGGTTCAAATTAAATTTGAGTCGAGCTTGACCAAAAAATAAGTTATTAAAAAAAAATTTCAAATACCCAATCAAAAAATTTCACAAAAATGCATAAACATTTAAATTTTAACACAAATTTAAGCATAAAATACCTCTAAATCACAATAAAAAATATACAGTGATAACCCTTACTCTTCCATTGTGGGTTTATTGCATCTAAAAATGTGATAATCTTATTTTAAAAAATTTTAAATGTTTAATTTTTATTAAATATAAGATTATTATAATCTCAACCTATTAATTAATATATAATCTCTTTAATGGTTCATAGGGATAAAAAAAAACTCTGCAACTCCATATTCTTCGTCCTTGTTTGAATTTTGTTTTTATGAATTTGTCAAAGCTCAAACCTATTGAGTGAGTAACTAGTAAAAAATAAAATAGTATTTTAAATTTTATTAATGGTCGTAGCTCTTTGATTATAAATCAATGATACATATTTATTTTTCCATGCATATCGAAATCATAAAAGTAGGTACCGTAGAAAGATCGCCAAACTAANCTTATCCCATGTATACTCAAAATTAATATTTTATGGCAATAGTCTTCTATGCGAAGAAAACATCCCACAGTTCGTGTACAAGACAAACTCATGTCAATATTCCATCTAATACTTGCATGGAATACAATTCATAAAAACAAATCTCTAGTTTGATTTGTATTCCATCTTCCCATCAGCACAGAGGCCAAGCTCATTTGAACTTTTGTTCAAACTCAACTTTTAATTATCCACAGACTTCGGATCGAGTTGGGACTGGCATGTTCCATTCACAGTGTAAATATGTGTGTTTTTTCTATGATCAGGTTGAGTTCTATTCTGGCTAACTCGGACCAAATTTTCTAGGCCGAACAGACAGGCTTTGAGCTTGCCCGACCCTATTGACTGTGGCACCTGAGGCCTGTATCTAGATATATATAGTAATTAGTATATTAGATTATTTAGTAAATTAAGCTAGAATTTCTCTTTTTGGTGTGTAAACTAATTTTAGTGCTACCGAAATTTTAGTATTAAAAAAGATCCTTTTGACGAGCCCAGGGTCAATTGGGTCAAGTCTAATGAATCAAGCAAACCCAGATCCACTAGTAGGGCAGGGCAGGCCAAGTCTGGTTTGTTAATCCGACCTAGTCTAAGATTTAAAGAGTCCAAGAAGATAAGAGCACGTGTGAGAGAGATCACGAGAATACACATTCTTTAAGATCTAGGCAACTTTAATTATATTTACTTTTTGTAACTATTCTCTCCGAATGACTAGTACTTTTACCCTCACGTCACTGCCTCCACCAAGGCTCCATGCCTATAAATTATAAGTTTTCTCTACATAGGAGGGGCATCTCACTACACCTCTAGAGACCTCTCAACACACTTCTCACATAATTTTTCTCTCTCCTAACTATTGTATCCCTCCCAGAGATTGTCATTGCTCTCTCCCGCCTTACTTTATTAGTAAAGGTTCTCCGGTCACCATTGTTATTTTTCAGAGTGGAGTAGATCATCCGGACTGAATCACTATATTAACCCGATATTTATTTTTTTGTCATTGATTACTTTGTTAATTGTTTTATTAATTACACTTAACTATTGATCTAGCATGAGACTATTTTGTGTATCATCACTTTCAATTTTTGAAAAAACTTGCATGCGGTCTCGTATTGATGCGAATGTTAAGTGATTGACTAGTTATTGATTTTCATGACCCATTTTGTCCTTATCACATAATTTCAGCTTAAAATATAGTTATTTATTTATTTATTTTTGGCTTTCAATCGACTCGAATTTTAATATATAAAAAAGAAATTTTAATAGCTCGAATAATACGTAAAAAAATAAAATTTAATTAGCCTAAATCGAATTTTAATCGAAAAAAATTTTAATATGTAAAAAATTTAATCAACTCAAATTTTAATATGTAAAAAAATAAATTTTATTCTACTCAAATTTTAATCGAATTTTATGAAAAAAAAATTGTTTGGGTTTTATTGTTGGCCAGCTATCTTCCGGGCATGCAGATATCAGATAGAGTTGTCCAGTACCCTTTCGCGACAATAAATACTAATGAAAAGGAAATTATAAATTCCGAAGTCTCATAAAAACTATAAATTTAGGTATTTTAAGTTTAAATTTTAATAATTTTTTGGATTCAAGTTATTATGGATTTATCCTTATGAATACTCTAATTCCGACATAGTTTTTGATAGGACCGGGGATATAATTAGTCGAGATGTACGTAAATTGACACAAAAACCACCAACTATTTAGCAAAAAAAAATTAAAAAATTTAGAAAATTTAAGTTG